GAATTTTGGTTTCTGATTAACTAAAATTAAGGAGAAATATGAATTTATTTCAAGGATGAATATTGTGAATGTGGATTGATTATTTTGTGTGGATTGATCAATGTTTATGAATCTCCAATGGTGGAAGTTGACTTTGATCAAGACTCGTTTAATTGATTTAATACAACTCGCTAATTTACATTATTATTTGTTATAAGATTGATTTCGTTATAAACAAAACACCTACAATCGTTATATGAAACATACATTGTTGAATTGCACACTCTTCTTGGGATCGACCTTTACTTCCGTTACTACATTAGTTTTAGAGGTTTAAGGACTATTTTTGGGTGTCTACGATAGCACACCAAATTTTGCCGTCATTAATGGGGAGTGGTGCTAATTTATTTTTGTATTTCTTTAGTTTTTTATTTTTGAAGGAAAAAAATCATATCTTTCAAGTAATTTATTGTTTTTAAGAATTTTAGTATAGAATTTTATTTATCTTTCTTAATCTAGCTTCCTTTTAATTTATTTTTTAATTGTTCTTTTTGTTTATGCCCGCAACTCGATCTTCTAGTCAAAGTGATTTGCAGTGCAATCCAAAAATTGAGAGAACTTTGCACAAGTTAAGGNCACCTACATTGAATCAACAACCTTTATGCATAACTTTTCCTATTTTAGATGCTACCACTACATTTGAGCTTAAATCTGGACTAATACACCTTTTGCCTACTTTTCATGGTCTTGCAGGTGAAGATCCTCATAAACATTTGAAAGAGTTTCATGTGGTCTGCACGAGTATGAAACCCACTGGAATTACTGAAGAACAGATTAAACTGAGAGCCTTTCCATTTTCTCTGAAGGATTCGGCTAAGGATTGGCTCTACTATCTACCATCGGGAAGCATTACCACATGGGATGGAATGAAGAGATTATTTCTAGAGAAATATTTTCCAGCTTCAAGGGCAGCAAATATTAGGAAAGAAATTTGTGGCGTCAGACAAGATCACAGGGAATCTCTACATGAGTATTGGGAGCGGTTCAAGAAATTGTGCGCAAGCTGTCCCCATCATCAGATCAGTGAGAAACTTCTCATCCAGTACTTATATGAAAGTCTTCAACTTACAGATAGGAGCATGATTGACGCTGCAAATGGAGGAGCTTTGGTTGATAAAATTTCCAAAGAAGCGAGGAATTTAATTGCAAACATGACAGCCAATTCTCAACAATTTGGAGCTAGATCTGATCTCCCTTCTAGACAAGTTAACGAGGTAAATATCTCATCCATTGAACAACAAATAGCGAATCTAACTACTCTTTTACGTCAAATGGCCACAGGTAATGTGCGGACAGTGAATGTTTGCGAAATTTGTTCAATAATGGGACATCCAACTGATGCATGTCCAACTCTTCAAGAAGAACCCACGGAACAAGCTAATGCAGCGAGTGATTTCCCTGGGACCAGCAGTGGTATTAGAGGCCAAAGTTCAGTTGAGCCTTTGATCTGTTAGACCTGAATGTTGATATGTCATTTGCAATCCTTCAACTCTTTATGAACCCTGGATCTGAAACGATATGTTGATATTCTTTAGAGCAAGTTGTTCAATTTGAACTTGTCGCTGATTTCTGGTATTCTTAAGTAGTTTCTTTTGGAATCACAGTCTTTAGAGTTTTTTCTTTGATTAAGTCATTGTTTTAAAAATTTCTTGAAAACCTCCGCTTAATTACCTTTGTCTAGGATTCCAAAGATAATCCCAGCATCTGAGGAAATTAGGGTTTCGGTCAAAGAAAAATCAAACGACGACCAATTTCTTGAGTTTTTTGTGAAAATTTTGTTATTTGAAAATTTTTGAAATTACCGTGAATACGTATTTTTATCTATTTTTACTAATGATAAAACTGCAAAAATTGTTAAACTATGTTTTTGGCATCATTTTTTTTTTCAAGATCCTGATTAGAACTCACAACATATAAATATATTGTATATACACATGCCCTGATATTGTTGTTTACTGAGTGTAAGCAAAACTTGTGAAATTTTTTTGATATTCCTTGCCTGAAATCTAAATATTTTATTTGATAGTGTGTTATCTCTGTGATTAGTTCACAACTAGTGATCTGTGTAACACTTGATACTTTTTTGATAATTTTTTTATTTTAAAAAAACACTGCACTTGAGCACAACATAACTATTAAAATAGATGTAGAGGTTTGGGATGGTAAATGAGACTTTAATATCCGGCGTTAGAAAATGAAAGCCTTGTGTTGCAATAAAAATATGCTAAGGCCATAGAAGAACCTTGACCAACAGATTTATCCCCTAATAAGAGAATTGATTAGGATGAGATGGATTGGATTATACCGTTTCTTCACCTCTCAAATTATGTGATCAGAAAGGCTGGTAAAATAGATAAAGCCTCTGATCTGTGGAAAACTTTAGAAATGTTGTATCTTAGTGCTTTCTTTAAAGGCAGTTATTTAGCTTTAAGTTTGATCCTAGTGCATATTTAGAAGATAACATGGATGGATTTAATATGATAACACAAGACCTTGTAAATTGTGGAAAAATGATATTTGATGATTAGAATGTAGTTGGCCTGTTAAATGAACTTGGAGGAAGACACAAGGATATAAAGAGGGCATTAAGAGTTCTGCACATTGAAAATTCCCTTAAATGATTTGACTGTTGAGATTATTCGTAACTCCCTTAAAAGAGCAAAACATTAGAACAGAACAAAAAGAAGTTCTGCACATTGAAAACTCAACGACAAATTCTAAGAGTTCAACAAAAGCAGTATGCATAACTACATTCAAAATAACGATCAAAAGTTATATTAAGAAAAAATGGGTGAATAATAAGAGCAAATACAAGAAATTAAATAAGGGAAAGGCAAAAAATAATAAGTGTGACTGCTTTAAGACGTTAAATGATCAAAATGGTGAATTCTATAATGAAAATGGCTCTCTTGCTATTGTCTATAGAGAAGCAGGAGCCAATATTGGGATAACCTATGTATCTTCAATGGAAAAACATAATTAGGATTGGATTCTTGACTCAAGCTACTCATTTCAGATGAATCCCAAATTAGGATGATTTTCTGATTCTTCAAATCTTCATTGGGGGACTTGTGAAATTAGGGAACAATGAATGTTGCCAAGTCAAAGGAATTGGCAACATTGTTCTGAGGTTGAAAAACAGCCATACGATCACCTTGAAACGTATTAGATATGTTTCACACTTGAGAAGAAATATCACATCCTGAGGGATTTTAGATGGTGAAAATTATTAGATAGATATTAAGAATGGGCATACAAATACTAAGAAAAATCAGGTAGTTATCATCAGTTCACCAAAAGTTAATGGAATCTTTGTAATGAACTCAAAAATTATTTTACCAAATCTCCGACGGTCACGAATCTTATTACAAGAGCTAAATTGGTGTTTTCCCTCTCGGTTCCAAATAAATTGTCGAACAACTCACAAATTGGCCAAATTCGTGAAAAGTAATACGAAGCAATGTTAAAAGTTCGTTATCAATTTCAAGTCGAATAATCAAAACTAGACTACATAATTCTTGCTAACTAGAAATAGCCTAACATCAACATACACAAGCACATACTGAATCAATTATACATCACCGAGAATTAGAAAGGAACGTAAAAGAGATGAAAGTTTGAAGATGAATTCAGCGAGCCAATCTTCAAATCTCAACCTTCGTCTCTTAAAAACTTAGGTGGTGTTCTCTTTGTGTTTCTGTTTTGTGTTTTCTGTTTTGAATTCGTTTTGTGTTTTCTGTTTTGAGTGTCTGTTTTGTGAATTGTTGAAAACTCGTTCTCTTTGTCGTCTGAAAAACTGTTTCTCAAAATAGAAAATTGAACTCAAAAATTATTTTACCAAAGAATGATATAAACTTAGTGGTACAATCAACAAATTAGATTTATGGCATAAAATGTTAGGTCATCTTTGTGAAAAAGGCTTGAAACTTCTTTCAAAATGAGTATTTGAAAATGATAATGTTCAAAAATTAAGGTGGTGTTCTCTTTGTGTTTCTGTTTTGTGTTTTCTGTTTTGAATTCGTTTTGTGTTTTCTGTTTTGAGTGTCTATTTTGAAATTACTGAAAATACGTTCTTTTTGTTATTCTGGAAAACTGTTTTTGAAAACAGAAAACTAGAAAACGCGTTTACTTTGAAATTTTGAGAAATTTTTTTAATAATATTTTATTCAATAAATCTAGTTATTCAATTAATTTTAATAGTTTAATGTTAATATAGTTAAAAATAACATATAAATTTTGAATTTATTATCAAATAGTTTCTATGCTCGTTAATATTTCATTGAAGAAACCGCATAAAGAATCATACTTTCCCGATACAGGACGAATACAAATATGAACACGTAAGGAAAAAATTGGAGCATTCGGGAAAAAAACGAGTAAATTTAATGAATCATCATCAAACTTTAAATATGTTACTACTTACTCACTCACTCATCCACCTCTCTTTAATTAACATTTTTAAATTGTGGACGAAAAATTGCGGGTGGCAAATGACAATCCTACGTGGCAAATGGCAATTGAAAAATTGCAGGTGGCAAATAACATGTTTTCATGATAAATCCTACTTTAGATCATGATAATTAATTTAACGAGTTAGCAAAATTATAAAACGTGTTTACACGAATAAACAAAAAAATTGCACGAAAACATGTTTACACAAATAATCAAAATTTATAAAACATTTTTACATGAATAGACAAAAAAATTGCCACCAAGAAGATGATTGTGAACCCAAAGGTTGGATTACAAAAATGAGATTTGAGGAAGGAAGTTGCTTCTTGGATTACAGTGTGCAAGGAAGTTGCTTCTTGTGAATCCATATATGGAGGATGAAGCACCTGGGAGTTCATGGACGATATACCCGCTTCAACTTGAGAAAACTTTAATACTACTCCATAAAGACATTTGGGGCCAGCAACTTGAGGAATGAAGTGAAACCAATTCTTGCTGTCTAGCCCACATTACTGCAAATTCTTCGGCTTCTTTTCACGCCGCCCTCTCTCCTCTTTGCTCTTGAGAACTAGCTCCAATACATGAGAGAGAGTGTCCATAGGTGGCTTTGAAATATCAGAAGAGACACGTTTCAATACGGGTGTGACTCCAATGCCATCATCTTGGAGACGCAACACTGAAGAAACCACTTTCTCTTCTTCTTCTTCCCCTACCCATGGGACTGCTTCCAAGTACTCCAAACATGATTGTATGCATGATGTGAAACCAAGTTGTTCTGCAACCTATAAGGTAGTTGGAAATAGAATTATGGCATGCATTACACACAATTAGGTCAAGTTTGTCTCCCAAAAAGAGTTAGTATTAGATATATTGGTGAATGATATGATGTACTGCTTACTGCTTCTGCTGAATTATATAAAAAGTAAGACAAACACAAGCCGTTGTTCTTCTTACAACAGTTTGAGGGGTACATCAATAATCAATAGCATATTATCCTGCACTACAATTCAAACATAAAAATACTCCATTCAACTTATTGATAACGATATTGCCTGAGTATACATCTAGATTAACACAATGATGTTTTAATAGAAGAGTTTTTCGGGCATTGCTTTCAGAAATCCTCTCTCTGCTGTAGTGAGAACTAGTCCACCCTACATTCAATTTTGACAACGGTATTAAATGTCTAAACCCAAGTTGAATGGAGTTTGACAATAAGGATAGCATTTCCAACTCGACGTTGACCAACACTGCCATACATTCC